CGTGTCTGTGCCCTGCCAGTACCGTGTCTGTGCCCTGCCGGTACCATGCCTGTACCCTGCCGGTACCGTGCTTGTACCGTGCCCTGCCCGTACCCTGCCTGCACCCGATGGCAGTCCCTCTTCCATCCCACCCGACGCCCTCAACACCAGCCCAGCCCCACAGTCCTGGACAGGGGGGACTGGGCCACCAGCCCTGCAGGGGCAGACCCCAAGTGCCCAGGAACAGGGGAGATCATCCCTCAACCCCAGTACTCCAAGGCTGAGCTGGGGGATAGGAGGCAGGGACAGCGTTGGGACAGGGCTGGGATGCTCTGTTTATTGAGGGAATGCTGTGGGGGGCCCTTGGGGGGCTGCACCAAGGCACGGTGGCACTGGGGGTGTGCAGGGACCCCGAGGGAAGCAGCACCACAACAGGGTGGTGGGAGGTCCCTCACACCTTTCCCGGGTCCTCCTTCAGCGTCACCGTCCGGTTGAACACCATCTGGGGAGAGGCAGAGGGTCCCTCGCAGCCCCAGGGCAGGCAGGGGGAACCCCACGCGGGTCTGGGGGTGTCCCACTGCCCCCACCCCAGGGCTCACCTTCCCCTCCCTGCTGTCGGGATCCACAGAGAAGTAGCCCAGCCGCTCAAACTGGAACTTGTCGAAGGGCTGGGCGGAGAGGACGGAGGTGTCGACCAGGGCATTGTGGACCACGCGCAGGGAGTCCTGGCAGGGGGAAGCAGCTCAGCTGGCAACCTCTGCCCCTCTGCCCCCACCACAGCCCAGCTCCCCAGGGCCCCTCTCCCCACCGGGACACGGCAAGGCCATACCCAGGGAGGGGTAGGGATCACAAGGAAGTAGATACCACTGGCATTGTGCAGGAGGTCCCCACCTGCCCCCAGAGCCCATAACCCCAGCTCCTGCCATTACTCACAGGGTTGAGGTCGCTCAGAAAGCCACCAGGCACCTCTGATGGGTCCTCAGGATTTTTGTGCAAAAACCTGCCATGAGACAGGGGCTGATCTCAAAGCTGCTGGGTGAGGGTATGTGGTGCCCCAGGGTAGCTGTGGGGCGGCAGCTCCCCCACCAAGGAGCAGGGTGGGCTGAAGCAGAGCCTGCTGGTACTTGGCCATGCTGCCACTCCAGCACTGCTGAGCTTGGG